ATTTAAAATTACTGAAACATATGTATATAAGTGCAGTAAAAACAAGTTTAGCGATAAAGTTATTTGTTGTAAAATAATTATATATTGAGGGAACTAAAATTAAGCTTATTAACTTCATTTTAAAATATTCAATAATAGAAAAGGAAAATATTATTTTCTAATATACATATAAAAATGATATTTACAATTTGATGTACTTCGTAATAAATCAGAGGACAATAGACATTTACTAGAGGCGTATTAAGGCCAGCTGTATTTAAATAGAAAGTTCTGGTGTAATAATAAATGCAGTAAAATTGTATGGTAAGCATTCGTTTTAACAATTCTCGAGTAGTTTGTTTTTATTTTTGATATTAGTTAATAGGTTTTATAATAATAATAATAGAAATTATAACAGAGTTATAACAACATTGAAGGGATCGACCTAATTTGGTATTATAACTGACAGTCGTTATAATTAGTAATATAATTAAAAAAAGATTAAAAATTATAGTAATTTTTATAAAAGATTGTATATATTTTATAAATCATTCATATTTACATAATATAAAATTATAGTTCATTTATTTATTAAAAATGCGTATATGTATATGCTATATATTTGTCATATTCTTATTTATATGTTATTTCCCCAAAAATTGTTATTTTATTTCTTCCCAAATTTACTTTAATACCAAACCTATTACTAAAATATATTTATAAATCTAAATTTATTATCAAAAATTAAATACAAGTACATTATTCTCAAACGTGGGATTGTAAAACTCAATAAATAAAAAATAAAATTTAGAAAAAAAATAAAATACAACAATTTTATTAATCTTTATAATGATTAATTATATTTATAATTATTGTTTAATATGATATTCAAATGATAAAAACTAGGTACGCAGACATAAATATTTTCATAGTATTTAAGAAATTTTGTTGTAGTAAGCATTTAATTAAGTTTTGACACTATAACATGTTTTTTTTAATGAAATAAAAAATGATCAAATTAAAATTTTTAAAATTTTTTTAAAATTCACATCAAAATTTGAATATTTAAAAAGAAGCTCTAATATGCTTAATCAAAATAAACACTCTGAAATACATTCGTAGAAATATTCATTTGTAAGTAAACGTAGGTAAGCTTCTTGTGTGAACACTTTTATGACGTTTTCCATAATTGACTTCACAATATGAAATTATTATAATAAGCAAGTGTATACATTTGTTTATAGGGTTTATATTTATTGTTTTGCACATTAGTTTCGCTTCAGTTTATCAGAGTCGAAAAACAACAACAGCAACAGAAATGAAAAGAACAGCAGCAATAGCAGCAACAAGAAATGAAAAGTGTGCCACGCGACGGCAATAAAAATAACAAAAAAAATATAAATATGTATGTATATAATTCAACCAAACTTACAAACATACATAACAGACGACGACTTCAGCGGACGGACAGACTCAAACAAACAGACATACTGACAAACATATTGACAAACAAACAACAACCAGACAAAGAGGCACTGTCAAACACCTTTCTAGATAGACAAACGAATATTTAAACGAATGTGTGTGACAACTGTGATTAACTAATTTACAATTTATATGTGCTCATGTAAATATATGTATTTCTATATAATGTATAAATTTTCAAGTTTATTAACCTTTTAACGGTATCTAGGAAATACACTGATTGTGCTGCTGCTGCTGCTATGTCTTTTTTTATACATACATGCTTGCTTGCTTGTACGTCATTGAAATATTGCAATGAATCATTTTTATCTGTTTCTTCTTTAACTTGTTTGATTATATTTATATATATATATATATAAATTTTTTTTTTATTTTAGGCAAAATATTTTCTCATGATTGTTTACATTTCAATTCAATAAATGTATTAGGTATTAAATCTTCTCATAACTAAGAAGAAGAAAAATTTAATGAAAGGAAACGTAAATATTTATTGGTGAAAAAATTATTTTTCATCTTTAATTCATTTATTTATTTATTTTTCTTAGTATATAAAAAACAAAGCAAATGCAACCAACAACTAAAAAAGTTGCATACACTTTTCATAGCATGAAACAGCCAACAACAGTACTATCATCCTTGAAATCAGTTTCTTTGATGCGCCAACAACAACAGCAACAACAATAACAAAGTAAATACTTACATACATACGACTCTTGTCTTTGCAGTGCGTTGGTTTTTTTTTTAACTCCTTTAAAAGTGAAATTGGCGGCATCAGCAACTGCAATGGATACGGATACGGCAGTGTATATCTTTGCCATCACAACCATACTACAACATTTCCAGACAAGACCAACAATGCAGTCCACCGCCACCGCTACTTAAGTGAACCTTGAAGAGTATATTTATTTATATCGTGTGCTTTTTTCCTATTTTTTGAATTTCATTCATAAAAACGACAAACATGAATTGACACACTTTTGTATAAGTATACAAACCTACGTACGTACATGTTACTTTGCCTCCATTTGTTTATATTTTTGTAAGTAACAAGTTGTATGTCTAATAATATATGCACGCTACGTATATATTTTGTATGTATGTTTGTTTCCCAGCTTCAAATAAAAATTTTATAGCCTTGATTTCTTTGGTTGTTTTTTTTTTATTTTGTGTTATTTACCGACTGATACCGTTTGACAGCAAATTTATATTTATCAAAAAAAATTTTGCTGAATATTTATTATTTACCGTAAACAGTATCATATAACAGAAACATTAATTGATCGTGTTAAAAGATTCACTTTCAAATAAGAAAAAAATAATATTTTCAGATAAATGTAAACATTTTTATAAAGACTCAAGGAATCAAAGAAATTTTTGAAAATTAATTTTAATCTCATTTGCATTGTTATTTTGTAGTAAAAATCAATTTATAATCTATTTGTAAATATTGTATAATAATACAGTCAATGGAAAATACTTTTAGCTAATATGTAATCCACTGAAGCTTAAGTAAGCATAAAAAACTGTACTTAGTTTAAATACCTTTACACAAAGTTATTGAGAATCCACTAATGAAAGTTTTTTCAGATTTATTATAAATTATGCATTTATTTAAACAATACATTTATTATCTTGACAGTATTTTGGTAATATTTAACAAATGAAAATGCTTTAACATTGTACAGATTATAAAGAAGTTTTCTATATAAATTTTCAAGTTTTAATTGGTTTCGAATAACAAAGAAAGAATTTAGTTAATTTATTGAAATTTATCTGACCATACAACGCTGTTTTGAATATTGCCAAGTATTCATCATCAGCGGTCTTAGCAAATATTCGAATTTCTAAATTAGTTTATAAGTCTGTATTTAATTTGTTTGGAGTGCAAGTGCCAGGCTTAGAACTTTTGCCAGTTAAATTAGAAGCGATGACTAATCTAATAGCATTTTTAGTCATTTCTACGCTACCGTAACCGCTATTATCATTACCATAACTGCTATTATTATTCCTATTCCTATCGCATAAACGTACTTAGACATAATCATCAATTCAAAAAATCAGAATCATAACGAGAAAAAGAAACAAAACAAACTCAGGTTTAAAAGAGCTTTGCATTTGCTAATAGTAAATAAACTCTTAATATATAAAATTGCCATTATGTCATTTAAATATGAACGAATGTCATTTAAATATTAACGATCATCAGTTACAACAGATGTCATCCGTTTACTTATTTAAAATAATTAAGTTGGAGCTCATTCTTGTAGTAATTTCAATAACCATATTTAGATGTTTCAGAAACATCTAACGATATTAAGATGTTTAATAGGTCAGAAAGTATGTGCTATAAGTATATGATAAATCCTTTTACTAACAAAAAAAAATACTTTATAGTATAGGGTATGCAAAACGGTCAGTGGAGAAAAATATTATATTTGTATATATATTATATATTATATTATATATATATATCTATATTTTAGATATATATAACACTTTGTGATACCATGGACCATTATTTGCGTCCAAGTGAGCTTGGTGTGGAAGCTCGCCAACCTATCCTAACCTAACTATCCTACCCTGTAAAAACTCTCAAACAATATAGCCCCAAATTAATGATATGGTTTTGTTTATTTTACAACGATGTTAGTAACATTTACTAAATAGACAGCAATAATGATATCATAATTTAGAACATGATATTAAACATGGAACATATTACCCACAGAACATACCAGTGAACATAGTACATACCATAAAATTTGGAACATATTATTAAACAGAGAACATATGTGAGTCTCCAACAAAACAATGATCAGCTGAATCCCTTGACCCTCGAATCCTATAAAAAAACCTACGGTTACATGTTTAAAAAAAGGCCCCGGAAGCAAACCTATTTAGTCCTAAGAATTGTGAAACATAGTATGTTAAAATGAGTTAGGCAGAGTATCTCAGAACAACAACGTCGGCAACTGATTAACTCATATCAACACAAATGTACTCCTGTCATAAAAAATAAAGGATCCTAAACTCTATATTAGACTTTCTGTTTAAAATTTCACACAAAAAGATAATGATTTCTTACCATTTCTAAACTTTATTGTTAAATTAAACAAACAGTAAATTTAGAAAAAACTTTTCATTTTAATTTTTTCATGGCAAATTTATTTCCGATATACCGATAGTTGCGTGGTTATTCACTAGTAAAATATGTACATATTCAGATAAATTTATCTATCAGATATTTATCATATCATATTATCAAAAATTTGTCGGTCATACTCTTTAGTCAATAAACAAAGAAAATATTCTTTAAAACTTCCACCCCGCTAATATTTGCAATTTCGTATTTATACATATTTTTTTGGTTTAAATTATTGAAATATATATTTATTTTCCACTATAAATCAGAACTTTAATCTTAAAAACTGCTTATCTTAAATGTATATCAAAAAAATATGAATATTAATCTGATCTCAATATATAGATATAATGGTAAAGTAATAATAAATTAAAAAGACATGAACTTCACTTACCGGTGGTGGTGTCCTATACACCTGTGAAGGTCCCATTTGTGGACTATAAGGACGTGGTGGAGGCGCCCAACCCTGTTGCGCTCCGTATGGTTGATGTGGTGGCGGTGGCGGACCATGCGGACCTTGCGGACCACTTTGTTGCTGCTGTTGTACAGCTTGTTGTTGCTGTTGTTGCTGCTGATCATAGCTGTTTGAATATCGATGTTGAGGTGGTGGTGGTGGATGCGATGACTGTAATAATGAATTCAAAGTTGGCGTAGGACCCTGTGGTGGTTGCCCAGGTATATATCGTTGTGGAGGTGGTCTATTTGGCGATGATAATGCACCACCAGGTCCTGTTGGAGGATTTGGCTGTTGCTGTGGCTTACCACCTGGTGGTGGTTGTTGTATTGGTGCATGACCATAACGATATGGATCAATATTGGGATCAGGATGATGATAGCGACCATAAACAGGATGATGGCCACCTGGTGGAGGTGGCGGACCACCACCAATTGGTCCTTGACCATAATCATCTTTATTAGGATGTTCTCCAGGATTTTGTGGCGGTGGTGGTGGACCACCTTGTGGATGGGGCATGTGTTGTTGTGATGGATGCGGCTGCTGATGTAAATGATAATGTGACATAGCTGGATCTCCTGCTGGCGGACCATATAGATGCTGTGCGGTTTGCGGATCACTGCCATTATTTGGTGCAGGAGGACCAATACCTGTTGATGGACTACCGCCGGGAGTTGTTGGTGGTGGACCAACAGGATTATTACCGCCTATGTTTGGTCCTGTAGAACCGCCATTATTTGGTGGACCCGCACTACCACCAGTACCACCCTGCGCTGAGGGTGATTTTATTTTTTCATTCATTACTTAGGAAACTCTATCCGGTTGGACTTTTTTAGTCGCAGCTGCTGATAATGACGATGATTTAAAAAACCTTCGACTACCTCTGCAACTGGCTTTAGTAATTTATCTATAAAAGAAAAATAGATTTTTAAAATTTAATTACAATATATAATTGAAATATATAAAAACTACTACTAATATATAATGCAATAAGGTGTAAATGTACACTGTATAGATGCAATTTTTTTTTTCTTGAAATTGTAATATGGGAAACATAAAAATTATGTCATCGGGATTTTATGACAGAATTTATCTTATAACCCAAAAAACCGTAAGTTTTAATTGCACTGAATAGAAGTTTCACTAGGTTTTGCAATGCACCTGTTATCAGACAGGTTTTAAGACAGTATAAAACCACTCATATTTTGAAATTTTCTCATACATTATTAAATACCTACTAGACCTAAAACTGTTCAACCACTTGGACATTAAGATGCACTGTTTATTTTTCATCGAAATTTCTTAAAACCTCTAATGATTTGATTCTTTTGGATTCCAGTTTAGATTAAAATAAAATGATAAAATAGAATGATCAACGGAATACAATAGCCACCTAACAGACCAAATTGTATATTTAAATTGTACAAATATTGCTGATGCAGGAAAACTAATAATTTTTTTCCTTGCATAACTTATAAATTAACTGTAGTGTAGTACAGTAGACGATCGACTTAAAATATAACATGGGTTTCATATCAAACGATCCAATACTTATATTAAATATTTTTAAGCATCTTAAAAATGTTATCTGTAATAACGAATGTTTCATTTAAAATGCACTGTTTTACTCATGTGTCACATATAATTGTAGTTTACAGTTATAATAATTTATTAACTTTGACACAAAATACTAACACGATTTCGAATCCATAAAACATAACAACAAACTGAATAAATCGAATTGTGGCAAAAGTACAGAGTACTTTTAGTTTAATTGAATAAATGCAAAAAAAAATGTTTGTTAAAATAAAATATGTTAAAATGTAGACAATTATAATATTGTAATACTTTCAGACCTTTATATTATACCAAGAGCCTACTGTAATCTACAAAAATAGATTCATTGGAATATTTTAGACAATTATTAGCGCAAGCTACTACTTACAAAATTTAAATACTCAATATATAATGTTTACAAGAGAAATTATCTATTCATCATAAAAAGTATTAAATTATAATATTATATCCCATTATATAAAATAATAGTAGTGTAAGGTTTACTGCTATTTGAACTTATGATGGTTCTAGCTTTAGCCAATTCAATAATTAATATAATTTCAATGTGTTTTATTGTTATTGTTACTATAACATACACAGACCCATAGTGGGATGAGTGACAGTTTGTCATCTGAAAATCATTTCTAAATCCGAGGATTATACTACTAATGTATACATTTATTGTGTCTTCAATACCTTCAACTAATCTTCCAGAACGTGGTGCATCGTCTACAGCAAATTGACGGATCAAATTTTTTTTCCCTTCAATAGCATTTTCAACTTTTCAATAGTTAAAACAGTTAAATATGCCGTAAATGCGGCTTTTTACGTTCCATATTTGAATGAAAACCAAACAAAAACTACTGCGTATAATCAAACGAAGTTTTCACAAGCAGACCTTGCTATGTCAGCTGTCAAAATATTTAATGAATACGCGGTTTAAGTGTAAGGCCCTGTTGAGAAAAATTAAATTTTTCCGAACAACTTAATATATAACAAAAAATAATTTAAATTAAAATAATTTATGTACCTCAACTTATTAAAATTATAATTAATTAAAGTAACAATGAGATTAAATAAAAATTTTGAAGTCATTTATAAAAAAATACAATTAATAATTGGAATTCAAATATAAAGAAAACTATTTAATTATCCTACCCAATAAACTATATTATCTTTATATTGCAGTCAGTTTGAAAATCTAGCCTACAATAACTTTCGAATTATTTATTAAAAAAACTATAAACTATACGTATACACATATGTAATGCAGGAATTTTTTGTATACCTAATTTTTTAATTAATATAGGAATTATTTTTAATTGCCAACACCCCAATATATATTTTATATATATAGATATTTTTTTGAAATAATATTTTACATGGAGTAACAGAAACAAGAAAATACACAAACAGTGGAGAAAATAGGATTGAAATCAATTGACAACGAACGAACGAATAAATGAGAGAAAATAGTAGTAGAACCGAAAACGACACTACACAGCACACCATACTACTTCACAGCATTTGCAATAGTTGAGAAAACAAAAGCGGCAACAAACTCTCATATTTGTCGTACCAAACATATATTTGTCTCGTTTTAATACATGTGATTTGGTCGGCAAAATATATTTATGTCCTTGTTGCACTAATGCACTTAAGTCAATACACTGATGTTTTATACAATGTACAAATACAATTTTAATGATTTTTCATAAAGCATATTTTTATTTAAAAATTTTAGTTTAAAAATTGTATTTTATTAAATCCAGATACACGATATAGTTTTATAAAGATTATATTTTATTAAAGAAATTTACAAACATGTTAATCTGTAACCACAATACTACTAAATCTATTGAAAACATAATGACTATTGCACGAAAAACTACGATTCGAATAATTTAAATATCTCACACAGTGCTTTGCAGTTGTATTTCATTTTTGGTACTACAAAGAAATAAACTGCTGCTTTGAACAAAATTTACAGTGTTGCATCTATCACATATCTAGAAATATATCTCCTCATATACATACAGATGTATATATATAAATACATAAGTTAAATTGGTAGGATTGATACGAAAACAAATCTCGAATTAATACTTTTCAAAGCTTATATTTATCGTTCTCACATAATAACAGCAATAGAATACATTTAATGAATTAAAACTGTTAAAATCCAGTAAATCGAAATATATAAAATAAGTTATATTATAATGACAAACATAGACGAAAATTTTGATTAGAAGTACATAGTATATCAAAAAGGATATTATAGATTGATTATATAAATTTCTTTGAAATATTAATTAATAATCACCATTTGTTAGTATCTCATCAATCTAATAAACAAACAATTATAAACCAATTAAATATTTTTTCTAAAATATCCATTAAGTTGGGCAAAAAATATTTGCCCAATCAAATTCAATCAATTCTTTTTTGTAACTCATTATATACACACTTGTGACTATAAATTGCTGTTTTATGTTATAAGTTATTGTAAAATAAGGATGAGTGATATCTGGGAAAAAAAATTGAAGTACATATTTCAATTTTATTACGAGATAGGGATTTGGTTATTTTCTGAAAAATATTCCTTACTTGGCTGTGCATACCATATAAATAAAGCATGAAGAAATCATATACAATTTTAAAGAATTTAAGCAACTGCAGACTAAGCACAATAATGCTTTAAAGCATATGTATAAAGCTGGTTACAATTAGAAACTCACAAGACACCCAAATGTCTTATGAACCGAGTGAAAATTTAATGGACCACATTCACCATACAGTCCTAAGTATTAGATAACAATTTCTTCCAATCTGACGTAAAATTTACTTTAAAAAACAATTTAAAAATAATTTGCAGAAGATAATATTCTAATCAAAATATTCTATAACATAGAAATAATGATGTTAATAATTTTAAAAGTGGAAGAGAAGGTTGGTGAAAAAACAAGCAATAATTAGATAATTATAATTAAAAGAAAATGATTGGAATTCACTTTTTAATAATAGTGATATTATATTTATGTTCAATATTTTTTGAACCGTACACATTAGTTAATAGGTGTGTTTTTCGAATTTTAAAAGATAATTTAATCTAGTACTAGAGACAGAGATCAATTCCTCAAAACTGATACTTTCATTATTAGTTATTTCCTATGATAGTAATTAATCTGCTCGACTGTCTGATATATAGAACATGCCAATAAATAATCTGATTAATACTTGCATAATGTTTTCTATAATTTCTACAATCAAAATACAATCGTTTATGGTTTTCAACTATTATAATATACCTGCAAGTTTTTAGTAATAAAAGTAATTTTGAAGAAGATGTAATCTGAATACTAGTCCACCAGAAATACAATTAGAGACGTTTGCCACAATAACTTTTCTACTATGAATATAATTTCGTTTAGTTATAACAAGAGTTTTTGAAATAATTAAGCTGATCTACTAAGTTGATGGATAGTCACTGTTTCATAGAGAAGGTAGAATTATATCAAATACCAAAAAGTGAATTCTCCTTCATTGTTTAGGAGATTTTATATATTTAAATCAATACAAATTTTTTGACATATCATATTAGACAAATACCTTATTAAATAAGGTTAATATATAGAAACTAAATTTTTATTGCGTACAGTTCTGATTCTACACGAATCTCAACCTAACTTTTGTAAATTTATATATATATAAATATCACACAAAAATAAAATTTACTTTTTTCTATTTTGTGAATTATTAAGCCTCAGTCCCTTTTCTTCGTATTTGGTGATTCATTGCTATTATATTAAAACCTAAACCGCTAGCTATTAGCTTAAAAATCTAAAGTGCTGCATGTTTGTCAGGTTAATATAAACATAGCATAATGAGAAGTGCATTGATATTTTGGAAAATAGTATATTTTGTAAATATTATTATTGCTTGATTATACTATAATTACAATAATTGCATTGTCTAAATAAATTTCTTAGACTCCCTCCTTTATGCATTTTTTTTTTTGCCTGATGTTACTATAATTAATTATCTAAATAAGCCTCATCAATAATTAGACCTCATAGTATTTATTACTAGGATATGTTAGGAGTTAAAATAATCTAAGGTATGAAACATTTATTATCTATGAAAAACACTTAAATAGTTTTTAAGAAATTTTTGTCTTCAATAGATCATTTTTGAGTGTAAAACTAATAGTTTTACTCTAAAAAAATGACAATTTATTACAAACATTAGATTAATTATATAAAGTTATATTTAAATCAAAGCGATCGTATTTATATTCTCTTTATAAAAAAAGTTAAACTATTATTTCCAGTAGGATAACTTTAAGTTTGTTTTTTTAGTTATATTTCATACCCATTTTCAATAAAGTGGGTTCTAATTTAAGAGAGAACCACAGTATAATATTAAATATAAAATAGTTATAGGTAATACGTGACTTATAACTGAAATTTGATTTCCAGCTGTTGCTATACTGAGAAACAACCAATTATTCCTAATATATACATAAATTTATAATTAACTTTAATTTTTTAATATAGTTCTAACGTTAAACAAAGCTGAAGCCAACCCAGAAGTTACTAATTCATGTGAACTATTTTGGTCTTAAGTTGAGCACTAGCTGCTTACGTAAACACAGTGAAGGGCTTTACTTAGTAATCGGCATGAATTTTGACATTTAAAAAGCCTTAATTGCTTTAATAAAATATGTTAAGTATTTTGTATTTTATTATATACAGTAGCCACCACTCAAATCTAATTCCGTAATAAGACTACATCACTAACTTTAACTGGCGTACAATTTATATCTGGGCTTTTACTATTGATGTTAAAAATTTTATTTAAACAATTTCTCAGATTTGAGGTTTATATATAATTTTAAAAGGGAATATAGCATTAATTTATGAATTCTGAGAATATTGAATGAATTTATATAATTTATCTGAATTAAAAGATAATTTTTATTGAAAAATATCTACGTTTTTTATATTATCATCAAATTAACTAAGAATAAAATGGGCATATAAATATATGAATTGTAATTATTATTGCATCTTTTTAATATATACTGGCTAAACTAGTGTATCTAATGCTTTCTCAAATATAAAAAAACAGAAAACAACAAAATTATAATAAAAATGTGAAAAATATTTTCGTTTGAAATTTATTACTTACACATTCAAATCATCACTGCAGCGACCGCACTCACACACACACATATATATGCATATGCGAAATACACCAACGAAATATATGTGTTTGTAATTTATACTAAAATAAAAAATAAGTTTTAAGTCAACAACGATCTGTATACGGCTTTCTTGCTCGTGAATAACACACACACGCTCTTTCAACAATTTTCATCAACATTACACAAACACAAACATTTCAAATAAGACAATTTCTGGATTTTTGTTTTGTTTTCCTTTTATTATTTTCATTAGTGAGTAGTAGAAGCACAATATATGTATCTCACTTTTATGCGGCTTTTTTTAAGTATTCTAGTGCATGGGTTAAAGGGAGATATATATGTTTTGTATATTTATTTGTTAAACGATAGCACATTACAAATCTATTACAAATTATTGCTGAATGTGTACTAAAAACAACAAAACTTGTTTCGCAGTCGCTCTTACTTTTGCACTGTGCACTATAAAAATTGTATGAGCGCAGAGCAGCATACAACACCACAATGATTGGCCTTTTTTTGTTGTTTTTTTATATTATACTTTTTCTATAAACTTCGAGTATATTTATTTTGAACATTAGTTTAATATATTAAATGTGTTGATTGATTGTTTGCTAAATACATTCTCTATAAGCAGCATATTGCACAACACGCACAGCATACCAGTAGCACTTCTTTTAGCTTTGTAATCGCCGGGTTATACGTTACATGTAGGTCTATTGATACCCACGTTTTATCTTAGCACTAGAATTACTTTTTTTTTTATTGAGGTAACCCGTTTGTCTTGTTATGTTAACACTGCAGTTAACTAATATTATAATATTTCAGTTCTTTAATAGGACACTGATGATACAATCCGTAATATCTTCAACGCTTACACAACATATAATATATTTGTTCTTGCCGTTTTAAGTCAATTTTCTTTGCGTTTTACAACAGAAGCAATAATGATTGCAAAACAAATTCTCAAATTCGCAATCACCACTTTTGCACAATCGACTAACGTAGTTGTTAAAGCAAATATCTTTAAGCGTGTTTTTTATAAGTTTCTGCATAAATTAGCATATTTACATTTATAGGGTGTATAACAATAAACTTAAATTATATATTTTTGTGTAATTTTCTATCATATTTCCATAGGGAAAGTAAACTTTTTCAATTTTTCTTAATTGCGCTGAACACACGAACGCTTTGCTTTCGGGACACGAATTAAATTTTTCTGTAGTCGTCTGAAAATTTTTTCATTAGCCGTCTTTTTTCAATCACAATTTCTTAACGGAATAACACCTTTTGCACACAAATTTTGTCATATTTTAATAGCCCCAATATTACTTAACAATAGAGTAACATTATTTAAAATTAATTTAATGTATTTTATTTAAATTTTTTAATTATTATCGCACATCGACATGACTCCATTTTTTGTCGTTGAACAGACGCGAACAATATGGCGGTCGGGAAATGACTTCAATTTTGTACTAAATATCGTACTGACTATGGTAATAGAGTGTTGGTGAAAAAATTTCGTGTGGTAATATTGTAATAGATTAAAAGAGAGAAAATGTCTAACACAGTGTTAAATAAAATTTGAAAAAATATAAATTTTAATAATACCACAAAAAATACTATGATAATATATTAAGAATTCTTTTAACATGATGTAAAATATTGTATTAAATATTATATTGCTTTATAATTTCTAATGTAGTATAATAAAATTATTTTAAAAATACTATTTCATATATCCATAAAAATTTCTCTATGAGTTCATAAATTCTTTAATCTCTGAATGACAAGTAAATTTCCATTAATAATAATATTTAAAATGTCCACTTAATTGCAAAAATATAATTTATAATAGTTGTGTTGGTCTATATAGATATCATAATTGCTGTAACAGCAATTCATAATTGCAATTCATAATCTAAGTAATACATAGATTTTTAATTTTGATGTGTGTTAACAAAGCTCCTTTTATATCTACCACCGATATTCTTTAAAGCAAGTTGTTGCCTTAACTTTTCGACGATTAAAATAACTGTAGTGATATTTTTTTTCATTTGCAAATTGTAATTATATTTTTCAAATGGAATACTTTAATAGTCCAAATAAGATACTTACAAAGTCCTATTGTCCTATAATTTTAATAGGACAAATACAAAAGTATAGTATATGCACACAATATTAAAGATTTGTATCAATTTATAATATTAATATAAATTTATAATATTAATAATTTTTATTTTAAAATATTAAAATAGTTAATGTAAGCCGAAATACTACATATTTTTGGTAACAATTTAATGGTATATTGTTCTTGTTTAATTTATGCTTAATATACCGTTTTTGTATCCAAACGAACACTATTGACGTTTTCGATTGGTAAATCTGGATTCAATCTAGATTTACATTAGATCTGTCAAATTTTGTTGCACAATCGAACATTTTTAGAGTAACCTAAAATTTTTGTAGTTTTTTAATAAATAAATCAATTGAAATAAAATGTTCACACTGGATTCTTTTTCTGTGTAATTGTGCACAACACTCAGCACAAAATCTTCAACTCTACTTTTTCCGTTTTTGCACATTGTAACAGCCAAATACATGAACAAACAAATTGGGCACATATGGAAACAAATCACACTTTTTCATTTGTCAAATCATATAAAATAGCCGTTAATTTCAGGGTAATATTGTTACTCTGGCAAAATATCCAGAGTGTTATAAATTAATCTCGATTGTTATACATGAATCTCGAGTGGTATACAGATTTGCCAATCGAAAATGAAAATTGCATTAGAGTGTTATAAATTAATCTCAATTGTTATAAATTTTGCCCCAGATTTACCAATTGAAAACCACATATATTAAAATTTAATTTTATAAAAATAAGTGTTGAACCTTACTGTGATATTTTGTTTTGTTTGTTAGTGATATTATTTTTTAGTTTATTAGAATTATTGACAATATTACTGCACAATTTTATTATTCTAAATTACAAATTTAAAATCAACTTGATTGGGTTAAATTACAATTCAATCGTAATTTTGATTAATTTTAATTTGATTTTATAACAAATAAGTCAACAAACCGTTCAAGCCAAATTCTGCTCAAAGTTACGTTTATTTTTGTTGTATGAATAGGGTATTCATTGTGATAGTGGAATACATTTATATTAAAATCAAAAAATTAACAATAAAAACCGTAATTTATAAAAGAATAAAAATATTTAAATAATTAATTGATCAATTAATTAATTATTTTTTATGTAAATATGTATATTAAAAGCAAGAAAGTGCATTATCGCTCCAGATTTAGTAAATGAGAAAAAATAAATACTACGCAAATTGAACAAACAAAACTTTAAATATATATATATATATAATATTTATACATATAATATAATATACATTGTTAAATTTATAATTTTCATCAATTAAAGTAAATATTAATTTAATTTATTTGTTCTTGTGCTTCTACTAATAATGATATTTTATATATACATACTACTTTTTACAAGCAATAACTACGATTTTTACGATACATTAGGCAACACTACCATCAACAATTAATCATCTTGTTTTGCTCATACATTTTTGGAGAAAAAAAAACAATTGATGCCTTTTAGATTTTAGTAATGTAATATATTGAAGCACAACGGACGGCGTAATTGCATATATTTCGGAAAGAAAGAAAATATATAAATTTAAAAAGCGATTACATCCGACATATGGTTTATTTAAATTAAAAAAGAAATATGTATCAAGAATATATGAATCAATTGCAGGCGACAATATCGCCACTTACATCAGATGAACTTAAGGATTTAATGAATGATGATGACAAATTAGATGAAAAAGTTGATGAAGTTCTTGAAATCTTGAAAGCACAAAAAGATAGTTTACTAACTGAAAACAGAGTGAAAGCTGAAGGAAATATTGAAAAAGAACCAAAAATTATCGAATTACGTGGTAAAGTAAGTGAATTATCAGAAGAAGCAAAAACCTTTTGTGAGTCAGTACAAGAAAAATTGTCACAAATCAAAGAAAAATCTGGAAATGTTAGTCAGGAAACAGCATTAGCATTACTACAAACAGCAGCAGCTGAAAGTGAAGAAGATTCAGAAGCTATAGTAAAAAAATTTACAGACAATGAAGTGAATGTTGATGCATTCCTTGAGAGTTTCTTGGGTGCACGCAAGCAAATGCATTTACGCAAGTTAAAAGCGGAAAAAATGCAAGAGTTGATGCGCAGACATGCACAGGGGGGTGCACAGCGAGGTTCTGCGAGTGGAATGCCAACATATAATAATATGCCAGGAAGTGGATTTTATCCAAGCAATAATTTACCATATCCAGTAGGACCAATGATGCCAATGCCACCGCGTCCATTTTAACATAAAGGGAGTCAAAAAAACAGTTACAAATTATAATACGCCGTTACGAGAAATCTTGAAGTTGTTTACTTTAATTTATAAAATTAGAAACAAAAATCTCTCCAATATATAATTTGGTAGCAAAAATCGTTGGAAATTATTTACTATTTATTTATATCGGAAATTAATAATATAAAAGAAAATCAAAAATATAGTTTGCAATAAAATGTTTTAAATGTTTAAAAAATTGTATGAATAATTGTTAATACTAATTGAATCTAGGGATAGGAATAAACGGGGTACCAGCTCCCATCGGAGCACTGCGATCATGGTTGATCTTTTGTGCTGCAACGGACGCTAAACTTACCATAACTGTAGGGATGAACCAGCTCTTTACCCTGACAGTTACCTGGAATGTCGCGCTAGTAGTGACTTCTCACGGTTGAAACCCATTTATCAATCAGAGACCTAGTGGTAGACCAATTTAATTCTCAATATGAATGGCAGATCCTGACCTCGCAAGATTGTCGGCAGACTCATTACCATTGATTCCTGTGTGACAAAGCATCGAGCAAAGCATCACTTTGTTTTTACTTGCCAGCTGTCGCTGCGTGTCATAGCAATCTAATAGAACTTTTTTGGGAAACGTTCATTAGTAATAGAATCTAACATTAAGTATAATTTTTAATTTAAGGGATGATTCTTTATTCATAGAATTGTACATATGGATTTCTATCACTGCAGTAATTGTAAAAGCATTTCAATGGATTAAATGCATCCATTTCGTTTACAAGTAATGCAGCACTGCATGGAAGGCAAAAATATTTATCTTCCTAACATACATTATCGTTAATTCACTATTGATAATATAGTAATTTATATTATTTAGTCTAATTTATAACTCAGGTTTATAGGATATATAAAAAAGTTCACGTTTAATATCAATATGTATAGTCTCAATATTTTATTTCACAATTTTTGTTTTCTGTTTTAAAATTCGTGGTTGGAGTTATTAAACGAAATTTTGGTCAAACGAAAACGTCTTTATATATCATAGCTACATTAAAAAAAGCACGTAATATTAATAAGACTGGATGTTGAACTATACTATTATTGAATAAAGTATTTTTATTTCGGGCATACAATAGTTCAATATGTTAGAATATACAATAGTTGTATTGTATATACAATTGTATTGCATACAATAGTTCTAAAGTATTATATATAGAACTATTATATCTTACATTATCTTAATAACTTAACATAAACACTAGGTCTTTTTTAATGATACTTGATGAACTCTCTTCTAACTTTCTCGAAAACCGCATATTGTTTATATCCGTGTGTAGTATGTTTCTCAATATAATCAATGGATACTTTTGTATAACTGTAACATTTTTACTATTTTTTAAAAAGTAAGAATTTAAACAGAAAAGATATGCCTTTCTACTGTTGGCAGATTTGTTATAGATTGTTATTATAGATTTCTTCTATAAGATGAAGTTAAAAATACAAAGATCTTGAGGTATTGTAAATCTACTGTTCACAAAATAATTAAATTATTTTAAAATATTATTGTGTTAGTAAATTAATTATATTATTTATTTATAAATTACTACAAGAACTACAATCACTTAGAGTTTGTTTACAAATGTCGATGAATGTGGAATGCGCAAGCCAAATATCAACTGTTGAAGTAATGTAGAACATAATACCTCTACAACTTGTAGGGAAAGAATTTTTCAATATTTTTGAAATTATATCCGTATAGACCTTGTTAAGGATCACTTTACATTTCTTATCGTTTCATTTTTTCTCTAAATAAACTTATAAATACCATGGATTATCGAGCTCATATTTAAATAATTATAATATTAAAAATATACTTATAATGACATATATATATTATACAAATACTACATATTTAAAAATGCCAAAAGTTATCAATGTTAAAAAAATTTATTCATAATTTGTTTAAAATTATATTTCTAATATATATAATAAAATTGTTAAAATAAATAAATCTAAGCCTTTCGCTATGGTTAACATAATGTCTTCAATAAATTGTAATTGTTTTTCGTAATTATTAAATATTAAAAAAAAATAGAGATGAATGCATAAATTAAATACAGATACACAATGAACATGTTGAACTTATAGTACGCGATTTTCATTGCATCAAAAATAATATTGTTAAGTGTTCGTGGGGGTTAGTCTTATTAATTGCAATTATATATTATTTCAATTTAAATTTTAAATCAAATCAATATTTAACATTTTTAGCTTTGCTAATTACTTTTAAAAATATTCACTCAGCTTTATGTAGTCTAAATAAAAGAAGGATCGCAGCGACAAAAATTTCTTAATAAAATTGCAAATGATAGCAAAATAAGGACATCATGATGATCCGAATTCATTCATCCATTTCTCATATTTTTCTAAGTCTGATTTTGAGACGCTCTTGTTACAGCGACTCATGGCTTCTGTAAAATCTTGATTTGATACAGGTAAGTCGACTTCTTCAGTTGCCAGTTGACGTATTTGTTCCGGCGTAAGGCCAGCAATTTTGCGACGCATAGACATCATGCTAGCATCCCTAAAAAAAAAATTATTTTAACTTAGTATATATCTTTGACATTTTTCTCAACATATATGGTAATAGAGAATTGTAAATACTCTGCAAAGAGATAACTGGGTATAAACACTAAATAGTGAACTAATTCAATTAAAAAAGGAAAAAAAGCAGATTCAATTATACTTAATTCATATATTTTTAATGTGTGAGCTAAAATTTTAGCACTGTCTTAACTTTATGACGTCAATTTTACCATACCACACAGGAACCAAGTTGTCCTTTGGTTTCTCCTGCTGGTTCCATTCAGGACTTACGACAGTTTATAACAGTTTACAAGATTAACATTAACAAGATATAATATTCTCGGTTTTGTTAATCTAATATAATAAAAATTAAATAAAAATATGCATATATTTGTAAGATATATCCAGATATTAACCCAAAAATGTAATAAGTTTAGGCCAGGTTTTGGAATATTGCATTTTGATAACTATAATGAAATGTGCCTCAGCTGTTTGTCAGGTCATCTTGTGTTACAATTTCAACAATATGGGTGTGTGTGTAAGGTGACAGAATGTCTCCTAAGGTTAGATATGAGAATTCTATTCATTCAAATTTATTGTGACAATTCGGCTCTGACGTGGCCCCAGATAATAATATTAGAGCGAAACTCTTTATCTTTAACGAGAGATTGGGTGTTTTCTATTCAACTGTTAACACACAAAAAAGACTTCTGTTATTATTATCAAGATCCGTATAAGAAAGAGCAAACGAAACTTGGTCGTGTTCAGGACGTAGGACTGGTCGCTCTTAAAACCGTCTACTATACTCACTGCATTTTGTACCATAAGTCAGAAAGGTCAGAAACACAGAAAGCTATCTATTCTACAAGAAATATCAACTCGACTACTATAAATAAACTGCCAAAAATAAATCTTATTGCACTTTGCCTATACTTGTCTACTACTGCCTTAAGTTGAGAGTTAATTAAAGTTATTCGTATCTTACCTGCATACGTTAGTTATGTCGGCACCGGAATAACCATCCAATTTTTTGGCAATCTCTGATAAATCTACACTTTCATCAACTTTCACTTCACGCAAATTTATTTTTAACAAAGCTTCTCGACCCTCATCTGTTGGCAGTGGTATATAAATACGTTTTTCTAAACGTCGACGTAGTGCTTCATCTATATCCCACGGAAAGTTTGTTGCTGCTAAGACCATTACAACTTTAGTGGCCTCTTCACTGCCCACACCATCCATTTGCACCAACAATTCTGATTTAACTCGACGTGATGCTTCATGTTCAGATTCTGACCCACGTCGCGAACATAATGAATCAATTTCATCTATAAATATGGTGCTCGGTGCATAAAAGCGTGCCATCTCGAAAAGAAGTCGTACCATTTTTTCTGATTCGCCACGATATTTCGAAGTTAGAGTTGATGAAGAAACATTGAAGAAAGTTGTACCACATTCAGTAGCAACCGCTTTAGCCAACATTGTTTTACCAGTACCAGGAGGACCAACCATTAATACACCTTTCCAAGGTCGGCGTATGCCCTACAAATACATTTACATAATATTATTTTTAATAAAAGAAACAATTACAGATCGTTTAATAAATTGAGATAAAAAACCAGGTATTAGAAAAATTTTTATCAGATATATAGTTAATATATTAGGGAGCTTAATAGTTCTAATAAATAAAGGACTATATTGGTAAAACCTATAAGGGATAAGGTTTAATATTATTTCGGCAAAAGTTTTTTAAAAGATTAATGATTGTAATTAATACATTTTAAAAACTTAAATAATAAAATTTGACACTGATTTACATATAAACATTATAAAAAATTTAGAATTGAAAACAACTGGTTTTTATTGTTGTATCGCAAATTGAAGTGTTGACTCATACATCATTTGAAAGTATAAAAAAGCAAAACACCCGGAATAAAAAATTAATTATGTCAGATAACAAAAATAAAACAAAATACCGAAACGCAAATTAAATAGAAGTTATTGATTGATAATGAGTACATACGAAAGTAGCATAACAATGTCGTCTTTATCTATGTATAAGAAAAAGACTTGTGCAAATTATGGTTAATAATTTCCTGGTTGCGTTAATAATGATATCATGTTATTTTATAATATTTGTTGAGAATATTTTTATAACAAATACTATAAATAATGTAAACGTTTAACGAGATTATACATGCGGGATCTATTCAATACGATTTCGTAATAAAAGGTTTACAAGATTTATGTACTTTTCTATAAAATTGTTTTTTGTTATTTATTATCAATGGTAATTAATATAATTCCAATAAATAATAATTCCATTCTTAAAGTATTATATGTCATTGCTAATAATCCGAAACTTTTTTATTTATGCACCGTAGCAACTATTAAGAAAATATGTGTAAAATCTTCGTTTTTATATTTTGGAGTTGTTTAAAATAATCCAAGTCGTTTGATAATACTGCACTTATAGACTATTAGTCTATAAGACTATTAGTCTATTAGACTATAGCAATGATCTCTTCACCTTGCTAATTAATAAAACTCTAAAAATTTTCAATGTTAATAAACTTTTATTCAACTTTTTACAGAGAGAAAAATCGAAACGTTCTCATCAATCAAAACAAAAAACTTAAAAATATTTGAAATTGAATTTTACTTTTTAAATTCAATAAATGCACAGCCAACTGGGTCGCCACAGTAAAATAGATTCCATGTGTTACTTCAAGCGATTTTTATTTTACATTAAAATCACTTTAAACTTCTGTTTCACAGAAGACAAGACTGATGCGTCTTTATGACGAAAAAAAGCTATTTAAAAGTTAGACGGATTCGAATAGCAAAAAAAAAACAAGAACAAAAATTTAGTTAATTTATTGAAATCTGACTGATCTTACAACGCTGTTTCGAGTATTGTCATGTACTCATCATTAGTGTTGTTAGGAAATATTCGACTTTCTTTTTAATAAGTCTATAGTCCGTTTATAAATTGTTTGAACTGCAAGTGTTAGACTTAGTGCTCATGCTTGTCAAATTAGCCAAAGCTGCACAAATTTTCAATGCTCAAGTTGTTACTTTTTTACTTTTCACTAACTATGACACTAACTATTACTTTCGTTAATTGAATTTATGGCTGACCATACAGCTGTTTCGAATATGGACAAATACCCATCATCAGTGGTCTGGGAAATATTTTCTGTGCTTAATTATTCGTAAATAATTTTTTAGACTGCAAGTACCAGGAATTGAACTCATGCCATGCCAAATATGAAGCTCAGAGTCAGCGTTCATTAGCCAACTGAACCAAAGCCGTACTTGACTTGTATGTTTGCACATTCTGAAATGTATTCCAAAAATCAATCCGTAATTATAACAGATAGGTTCTTCTATTATAGCATAGCATTAGTAGGTTAGATTAGGTTATAACGAGATCCTAAGGATCCACTTACATCTGTTAGTCTGTTCTGCAATGTAAAAGATGATTTTTTCGATAGTTTAGAAACAATTACGAAATTTATATAAAGCCTAATATGAATTTTAACGTAATGTGTCTTCTCGCAGCTGACTAACATATTCTAAAAAGTATCAAAACAAGTAACAAAACAAATGTAACAATTTTCCCTCGATGAGATATGTAGTAGATATTTCAAATTTTTTACTATTTTTATATTTATTTATTTGGTCTCGGCTCAATAAAGGACTTGCCAAATCCATTTTCACATTTTCTTCTTACATGTCTTCTTACTTGTGGATTTTACGTAAATAAGACTTACATTTATAAGCCACAGCATGCTAAACCAAAATAACAATTAATATATTGAATTTATTTAACTTATTCTAGGTTCATTGTCTCGGCTTAATGTTTTTCCAAACATTGTTTGAACTTCAAAGCCAGATCACAACTTTCATCTATAATTTTCGTTCTTAACAGTATCTACTAATCCTCATCTTCTATATCGTACTCTTTTTATTTATTCTGTTCTAAATTGAAAGCAAATTGTTATTGTGTTTGTTAACTTTTATGACACCTGTTAAGATAATATGTGGACAATACTAGCAAAAGTGACTATCGTTAAGTTTTTCACGTCATATTTTATTTTAGATGATATACTAGGCCTAAATTTGCCTCATTCTATTTAATAAACACCAACCTTAAAGTAATCGGGCATCAACATAGGTAACACTACAGCTTCTTCTAGCAGACGTTTCGCATCATGTAAATCAGCAATGTCATTCCAGCGAACTTTCGGATTTCGTTGTAAAATATCACGTTCTAAAAAATGAATATGATAAAATCAATTAAATTTGATTAAATTACAAAAAGTGTTTACAAAACACTGAGTCAGTATTGTTAAATTTAAGATTTCTCTATAATAATAATTCGAATTTTGATAAGCTGTAATTTGTAATTTTATCTATTATTCTCTACTGTGTTATCACTTGCGACAATCATTCACTATCTACATATCAACAGCTTACCTAAGATATCTACTAATTCCGCTTCAATATGATTATTTGGTTGGAATTTTTTTTCTTCTTTTTCGTCATTATCTGCTGATTCATCTTCACGAGTTTCTTCAGGCTTTGTATTTCCATCATTAGCGATTGTACTTGTTGGACTTCCCACAGAATTAGTACTTGTATTTACTTTTCGATTTGATGCTGCAACTGCACGTCCATTACTTTGCGCTGTTGCATTGCCACGTGTTGATGTCCCACTGGTAGTTTTGTTGGCTTTGTTTGGACCATTATTACCTGAGTTGCCATTTGTACGTTGTGGTATTGTGCTCTTAATAGCAGGTTTTTTAAAAACAAAATTACGATTACGATTATTTATGCCAGGCCTACAAAATATGTTGTGCAGAAAATTTTTTTTATTGTATAGTTTGCTCTCTTAATACTTAAATCATACTTTTCTGGTTTTGGTGGACCCCACACATCTGGATCTTTAGGTGGCGGTGTCCATATGTCAGGATCAGGACGGAACCATGAGGCTGGATCTTTTGTTTCATCTTCGCGTATTTGCGCTTTTAACTTATGCGCGAATTGTGTATTCTGTAGATCTAATGTCATTTCTGATAGTGTGTTCTGTATGGCTTTTAATTGTGAATATTCTTTGTTAATTTGTTGTTTTATCTACAACAATAAATATTAGAATAAATTAATGAGAGAAATTATACACATTATACCATATTCCATTTGCCCTTACGCATCGGATCTGTTATGGAATTAACCATACGGGATAGCATCCCCTGTAATCCCTCATAATATATTGATGCGGAGTCATAATTACCAGTCAGCGCCATATCTCTAGCCATTTTTGCATTCTCGCATATTTCCGCAATTGTAGTTTTGGCCATTACGGTCATTCCTACACAAGATTTCGTCTTTTGCTTCCCACCTCGCAATAGCTAATACGACACAATAAATTCATTTTATAAATAATAGCATAAGAAAGCAAACAGCAAGACGCACAAGCAGCAGTATAACAATACGTTATTGCTTAATAATTTCTTCACAAACATTGTCAATATGAAAATATGAAAACAATACCATTAAAAATAAAAAGAACCATTGAAAAAGTATGAAAAAAAACTCAAAATGGAAAGTGACACTCCGTTAATGATGCTCCATGATAATATTTAATTTCTTTTTTTAATTACTTAATTAAACTGGTTTACATTGTAATTCAACTTATTGTATTCACTTGTTAAACTCTACAATGGCTTAAAGGTAAGTTATTATATTATTGTATATTAATTAAATTTTATTTTGATGACTACTCTTATGTGCCATTTATGGGCAAACAAATGACCTTGCTTAGCCGTGCTACAGTCTTCAACCTTAACTCAAATGTGGCTAAAATTAATATTTCCTATTATCGTTGTCTTTTTAAACTGCTGCTTCTGCTACTTGTTAGAAATTTGCCGTCATTTAGGGAAAAAATGTGAGAAATATACGCAATCTTTTTTTTTCTTGACGCCCATTCATATATACGTACGGTTATTGACATTAGTATGCTATTTCCTTAACTTAATTGCAATACAAAATATATTCAAATAATATTTTCTACACTTTAATATATAAACAACACTTTTTATTTAATGTTAGTCAAGTTTTTAATTTATTTTAAAAAGAAAATAACTGCATTTGTAATGCTTTTTCTACTTCTTTATATTTTAATCATTTGTTCTGCTTTGATACAAAGAATTACGATGAAAATAAAATAAATTGACAACTGCTCAGTGTTGGGAAATGTCACAACTTGTTGTGAGACTTTCATATATCTACGTTTTGAATGGAATAATTTGTGATACCGTTTTTCATACTGCGCTAATACTTACAATTGTCGAAGCTTATTAACACGCTTTTGTACGGATTTTGTCGACAAATGATTATTGCTGTACATTTCTCTAGTTACGTTTATGAAATTAAGATTTGGTCGTTTCTATTGGTATAAGCTGATTTATGCATGTAATATAGCTTATAGCTTGTTTGTTTACATTTTACATATGTTTTATATGATAAATTATATTTCAAATTATTACTTTTTTGCCTTGTATTAGTTGATTTCTTTATAATGATTTCGTTTTTATAAAAGAGTTTTTTTAGATAAATTATCGTTATTAGCGGTCTTAATGAGCAAAACTGTCTAAATGAGACAAGTGATAACATCGTATTAGTGTAAACACACTGTTATTTTTATTTTAACTTGTATTATGTTTAAACTATCATCGTTAAATCATGTTTGGGCTTAACTTGATGAACATGTATAGTTTGCAATAAAAAATTTAGATAAGCACGTTCTTATTTTTAAGTTTGTTGAATTAAAATTTAATATGAAATTTACAAGTGTAAATTTTGAAAAAACATACATATTAAATAGAGCTGCGAATCAAACTGCAAAAATCAAACGATTGAAAAAAAAATTAACCAGTGATTAGGTATTTTCATCCTAAAGGTAGCTTGGTATTTCAAACTGTTTTCTGATAAAAGGAATAAAGAAAAAAGTATGATTATACATTTGTAATTTTGCATAAAGACACGTATTAACATTTATTTGGCACGAAAAATGGACACAGGTAAGATTAGGTTATACCGGCGATCCGGTTCAGGTATAGTCGGTTTTGGCTTTAAACGATAAGAATTAGTTTTTATTTACCTATTTATTTACAGAAACCGGCGACATCGATTTTATATTTGAAAATAATAACTCGAATTAATATATTTAAAAAAATTGTTTGAACAATACAATTCTCTTCAGAGCTTGAGTTTGAATAACTGTTTTCACAAATATTTAAATTATATATGATTATTTTGTTTAACTTTTTATGCTTGGGGATTTTCAGTTTTACCGGACTGTGTAACTGCCCGGCTCTCTCTAGAACTCCACAAAAATACTTAGGGCCTGTCAGTTTTACCGGACTGGATCACATACCTGAGATTTCTGTTGAAATCCTAATAAAATTCGCTTATAAAACGCGCATCCTAAGTGATGCACACAATCGCTTAAAATAAGACTGATCTGGTATCACAATGGACCTTAATGGTCTAGGCGTGACCTAGGTCTGCCACCATAACCTAATACCTTTAGTTAACTTTTTACAAATTTATTCATCGATTTAGAAATTTTTGTTTATATATATGTATTTATTATAAGACACAATAACCTAAAATTAAAAGTAAGAGGGCGAACGTTCAATTAATTTTAAAAATGATTCTCTTGAATTTTCGAATGGTTCTATATTTAATATATATGTATTAACGGTACTTATGCTGCATGAAATATCATATAGTTACTTTTAAATCAAACCTGACTTTAAAAAACATTCTGTACTATAAAAGCAAAAAAGTGTTCACGGTCTTAAAATTGTAATATGCTAAACTCTGAAGTTTATCTGGAAAATTTGATATATATAATACTTTAATACTTTAAAAAATGATTATGAAGAACATTGATGATTTTTGCAGGAAAGCTGTATAACAATTTCCATTAATAAAAGAAAATATAACACTAATTCCGAACACTTTATAAGCATGCTAAAGGAATTTGACAGGTCGGTTACATTAAATTTGTAAATAGGTTTTTCTTAGCAAATTTCTTTGTCTCTTATTTAAAAAGATATATTTAGAAAGTAATTAAATACATGTTATTTTATAGAAATTAGTTAATATATATTTATATTTTAAGTAATAAATAAAATGAGTAATAATTTACATACTACGTTAAAAAACGCATTTATAAATAAAGAAGATGTTACAAATATAGCAAAAGGTAAATAATTATTAATTAACACTAAAATCTTGTACTTGAATATATATTTTTTTGTAGATATAAGCAATGGAAAATATGACATATCAGTTATTGTAGAGAATTTAGGCGCCGAATTAACGTCAACAAATGTCGACGAACGAGTTAAAGGCACACAACTCTTATCTGATATACTAGCCGAACTACCTCGAGATTATCTCACCGAAGCGCAACTAGAATTTCTTATTACATTCTTTGTCGACCGAATTAAAGATCATCACAATGTACAGCCAGCCGTAATAGCTGGTTTCGATGTCTTAGCTAGAATGAAAAATATACCACCAGAAAAAGTGCCTGTAATCCTGCGAAGCCTTTTTCAAGATGTAGTTTGCCAGTCTCAAATGCGAAATGAACGTACAAAAATCTTTAGGATCTTAGAATATCTATCAAAAAGACATCTCGCCAGTAGGTCGTAAATTTTATAAATTTATTATTGTTTACCTAGCATATTGTTTACATTTATTAATAGTATTAAAATCAATGTCTGGCGATTTTATATATGGATTAATCAATTGCATAGAAGGCGAGAGAGATCCTCGAAATTTAAATTATATATTTTCTTTTATGGCTGAGATTTTACAAGCATACAATTTATTGCATTTAGCTGAAGAAATGTTTGAAGTTTTCGCCTGTTATTTTCCTGTCGATTTTAATCCATCTAAAAACGATGAAGAAGAGACTATCACACGTGATACACTTGCAGAAAAGTTATCAGATTGTCTTGTTGCCAATCCTGAATTTGTTGAATGGACAATTGCGCTGATTTTAGAAAAGCTGGACACCGATTTAATTGTAGCAAAAACGGACTCACTGGACTTATTAGTACGATATAGAAATTTTAAACTTGAATATAAATTATGTGCCGAATTCGACAATTCATATATAAATAGAATATTATGCACATAATTTATATAGTCGTTATTATCATATTTAATTTTAAATTAACTTATACTGTTTTTCTAGTTTAAGGCAGCACATACCTTTGAACCAAATTTAATTGAAACTCACTTTGAAGATATATGGAATGGATTGAAAACGGTTATTTTTCCTGATACCGATAACAGAGATATTTTACAACGTGCTTTTAAAGCGTTGCGTGAATTATTAAGTCGAGCTAAAAGTCTACCTGATGTCAGTAAGCACTATCAAACATTTATTTTGGGTATTATATTACCACATTTGAATGATATAAATCAACGACTATTTGAACCTGCAAAGAATATTGGCCTTATATGCATTTCAACAGAACCTAAATTGGCAGCTACAAAAATCTTAAATTGTTTATTAATAAAATTAAATGAAATTGGCGCTTGTAAAACGGCTCTGAAGTCTAATTATCATGAAGAGCGAATTAAAATTTATAATATTGTTTCTGAAATTTTCGCCACAGCTGAATGTGTTTCATTAAACGATATTGATGGCGATGTGTGCAAGCAAATACATTCGAATGTTATTGCAATACTATGTAAAAAAGAAGTAATAACGACTCCGCAAAAAGAAGAATTGAAATATGCTGCTTTAGATATTCTAAAGAAATCCGTGCCAATTATAACTGAAGAAAATCGTGTGTTGGTATACAAAGCTCTATTTGAGTTTATAATGGATGAAGAAATCAATTTGGAATTTACATGCTTGATCGAACAAATGGGTGCTTTATATCCTATAGAATTACAGTCGAATGTGATTGAAATTTGCATACGAAAATTCACAACATTTTCCGCTTTTGTTAAGAATAAAGTCTACACTAATCTAGTACCTTTAGTAAAGCAAATAGCCTTCACACAATCTATTTTAGAACTAATAATGGAGAATGTGTTCAAAAAAGAATTAAATACTACTGAACGTTTATTGGCATTGAAGGCTTTAAGTATATTATTAACAACCGATGATCCGCGGTTTGTAGAGGAATTACAACAAAATAATGACTTAATTGCAAAATTAGTAGAACTACGGCTTGACGTTAAAATAAATTTGGAAGTTTTGCAACAAATATCACTGGCAATTAGCTTAATAATAAAATGCTTGAATGTGGCAGAACAATATATGATTGTTACGATGCACCTATCCAAATTGGATTTGCAGCTGGCAACCGATTTGTACGTTGCTAATGGTTTACTTAGTTTTTTGCATAAAGATATCAGTTTAGACGATCATTTTGAAAAATTAATAGAAGATTTGACTAAATTATCGCTGGAAAGTAATAATTCCAAATTACGAGAAGTCTCTCATTTTCTGCTTTGTGGTTTGTCTAATAAAACTGACTATGAGCGTTCGAACCATAACCGTAACGTTATACGAAAAATGATTGCTAAATTAAAGGGCTACATTAAACATGACAATAAAAAAGCTGTAGAAGCATTAGCTTGGCTAGCCAAGGGACTTGCAGTACGCGGTGATGATGATATTGCGGATATTATTGAAGCTGTTAGTATATAAATTTATTAATATTTATTTCAAATAAATATAATTTTTCTTTTAGCTTGCGGAATTATTAGATAATCCATCTCTGGTTACTGCAGCAGCATTAGCATTCGAAATTATATCTGCTGAATGTGCGCACTTGCATTTACCAACTGTTTTATTTTTATTTAAACAAAAATTATTTCACATCGCATTTCGCGCATTAAAACCAAAACTGACTAGTTTTTGTGAACATCATATTAATGCGTTCATATATGTGTTGAAGGGTACGCCACATTCTGTACTGAAAATGAATGTCAATGAGGTAAATAATGTATATTTTTTATATTAATGTAAATAATAATATATTATATTCTGATGAAATCATTTTAATTATGTATTCGAATTATAAAAATTTGATTGTAGTAAATCAAATTTGATTAGTCAATCAAATTTAAAAAAGAGTAGATGATAGATATCAAAAGCAATATATCCAAGGGATACTAGGTTTATTAGGTGTGCAAATATGAATCCTTTGCGTAACTACAAAATTGATGATGCATAACTACATGTTATGTAGTCTGTTCAGGTCACATGAAATGATAAATTATTTTTGCTGTCAAAACATTGTTGCTCATTAATAAATGTCAGAGTTTGTTGATTTTGAAAGCAAAATATCATAAAATGAGTATTTCTATGTAAAAGTAAATAACTAAATTAATAAATTTACTTAACACCACTTATGTTGTATTAGTAAACCAATGATATTAGGAACCATGTTTATACTGGATGCAAAGAGGTTTTGGATCTAGTCTGACCGGAGCTTAAATTGATATAAAGGTGGTATTTACACAGATCAAAGACATTATATAGAGTAAAGCGATGGTGAGCACATATAATGAGAATAGTCGAGTATATAAATAATTGAAATAGTTGCAGGAATAATATAATCAGGATTAATACTGTAAAAAGAATGTTTGTTGAAGTCATTAAACCACGTAACTAGCACTGTAAAGTACGATGTTAAAAATATTTCTTATCTTTAAGAAATATTGACGAGTCTCTGGTGTAGTTCACGGACTTATAACAATGCATGCCACATATTTCATTAGATATTTAATTTCTCTCTCCTTACCTCTAAAACATGCATAGTTACATTTAGCCACACCCTAAGATGTTAAGTTAGGTTAGGTTGAAGTGGTGACATTCTGCTGAAGCCCACTTGACGCAGATCAGAAAAATTTCTAAAAGGATCACCGTGGTCAGTGTAAGAACAATTCTGAAAGGCACCACTCTCCCCCATTCAAATGAAATTAAACTTATCTGACAAGCCTATGAATTTGGCCATGTCCCTAATTTTGCAGTTTGACAGCTCTTCTAGGTTGGTAAGAAAAGTGGTCCCAAAGATTTTGAATATTCTAGTAAATGATGGACACTGATACATAAAGTGAAGTACAGTTTCCTCTTCATCTGTAGAGCCACTACCCCGATACACCTAATAGATAAATCAGAGAAAAAATAAAAAACCAAATAATTTTTTAAGAACGTAATGGATTCTTTGATTCTATTACTATTATGTTGTTTGGATCAATTATACTAGTATAATTTCAAATATTTCAACTTCAACGCGCTTTAGAAAATAATTATTGTTATTATTATTATTATTATTATTATTATTATTATTATTATTATTATTATTATTAAAAAATGGATTGTACTGTACACTGCGACCTAAAAGATATATTGTGCTCCTTTCTCGGGTTAGAGTGTTTCTCCAAGTCCGATTTCTTTAATGAAAGACAGTATAGAGCCTACCTTTTCTAGTCTAAAATCTTTATGATCCATGAAATACCCTCCTAGGTGTTTCTTCCGCTTGTGCATCAGTACAGGGCACTCCCCAAGCATATGGTATACAGTTTCTCTCTCTGCTCTACAGTATCTGCAGTCTAAGTTGGATTGAATTCCTAACTTCGATAGGTGATTATTCAATCTACAGTGACTAGTCAATAATTTATGTTATTTATAATAAAAATATATTACATCCAACAATGACTAGACAATAATAGATTAGATTAATATTAAAACTTTACTGCAAAATTTGACTTTTAATTAAAACAAATTTTTTTTTATTTTGAAAATATATTAAAAAATATTAAATGCTTTAAAAAATTATTAAAATAACTTATTATTTAAAAAACAGATCGGACCCATACTTATCAAAAGTTTGGAATCAAAAAATGTTCACACCGTAAATATAGGTTTAGATATGTGTGATAATTTTATAAAGCATCAGGACACCTATTTTCAAGCTCATTTAAGTCACCTTATGAAAACTTGTCTTAGATTAGCTACTCATCGAAGTTCAATGGTAAATCTTATGCGAATAATTTTTTTTTATTTATACATGTTGGGTATTAATAAAAATTTTTAATTATAGGAGGTTCGTATTAAGGCACTGAACATTATTTACGACATAACAAAATACCCCACATATGTGCTACTACCACTTAAATTGGATGCAGTCCTGGAATTGTATGAAACCTTGGATGATCCCAAGCGTTTAGTGCGAAATGCTGCTGTGAGAGCGAGGAATGCCTGGTTTCTTGTTGGTGCTCCAGATACTTCAGAACAATAAATGCAAACAATTCTTAAAGAGGTTTATTCAATCTTTGGATTCATTTCCATAATTTTAATATGAAACAAATATTTTGTAAATTATAACTTATGTTACGCTGTTAAATGTTTCAAAATTGTAAATAAGTGACAAGGATAAAATGCATATTTTGTATATTTTAAGCATGTTTTAAAATGACGATAAATACAATTATTTTATTTTATTAAATTCATTGTTAAATTTACTAACACATTATTTTTATAATTATTTTATCATAATTCACACGGAACTATTTAGAATTTAATAACACAATTACTTCCGCTAAATGAAATAAGCAAATAATTTGACTAAAATTATGCACAAAACTTAAACAAAAAAAATATGCTTAAATAAATTTAAAGCATTTCTTTGAAATAAACCTTTTTATTAATTTTAGATATTTAAATGAACAATTATTATTTGTATATATAAGATTAATATGTATGATCTGATTGAGATCTGGCCATTAGTGCACATTTTTGTGCTTTTTGCACAATTTCAGGGCAACGTCGTTTCCTTATTAAACGGCAATCCTGAAAATAGCCTTCATTACGCGGAAAACCATGGCTGAAATCTTGAAAAGTAACTAAGCCATGTCCCCAAATTTTACCGCCACGAAATTCACCCTCAAATTTCAGGCCATCGGAACGCCAAAATATGCCATTTCCATGAAACCATCCTTGAAAGAATTCACCTTCATATCTGCAAAGAAATGCATGATAAAATAATGATATTTAAAGTATATTTGAGTACATAATATGCACACAGAAACTGAATTTATGTAATTCTATTAATATTTACCATTATTTGAAAAAAAAACAAGATTAAGTTACATTTGATGGAACTATCTCACAAATTACGTTTAAGAAGAAAAAAAAAACCCACAACAATACTCATTTAAAAATTGGGGATATGGGGAATTAGAATGTTAGAAAACTCTAGAGATACTAAAAAGTAGCAGAGGTAAACAACATCTGCTGAAAAGAATTCTATTACAGAGTTTAAGAGTTTTTTATTTATTTATTTATTTCAAAAATCACTCCATAAAAATCAAAGACTTTTTATGAAGTTTAATGTATTTATAATGTATTCATATGAAATAATATTAAATTAATATTTAATATTTTCTGAATTAATATTTTCGATATTAAAAGTTAGAATCTACGGGTCATTTTAATTAATTTTTATTAGGCCATGTTATACAGAGAATCTCATGACGACTGGTCACGGAAGTTTAATGCTTTTTTTATAGATGTTCCTACATATCCTACAATTTAACGTGGCCATGACCGCTGCGTAATATTTCTCTTAGCATTTCCTTATTGCCTTTAGTTGAATATTATTTCCCGAGAGAAATTGTCGAATGGCTTATATACATATAGATTATTTTTGTATCTCGTAACATTTCATGATATATTTAATCCTTTAATAATTAATTTTTGCAAATTATTTACGAATAAAATAAATAAAAATTTCAGATTATTTTTTATACTATACTGTGTATACTGTGTATAAAATCAGATTCTTAGGTACTTGAAGAAATACTAAAAAACTATTAAAACCCATAATCTGGACTTACGAACTCCTTGTACTACTCTGTAGTAAACTGGTTATAAGTCAGTTTACTTATATTTAAATTGTTATTAACCTACTTATAACTCTACTTATCTTATACAGGGGTCTCTCTGTATCTTATTGTGGTGTTAAATCGTCGACAGTACTCAGCTCACAGTACAATTTGCGGTCTAGCATTGGATGCGATATAATAACAAATGGAAACTAACTTCCGAGTTGAATATTACCGACTACGATATAATAACAAAGCAGAAAGCTTTCTTCACGGCAGAAATGTTGTTAATTTGTGAATTAACAACATATTCTTCTATATTCTATTCGTATTCTATAGCTAGGTCATGTCTGTGAGATGTCAAGGGAACGAACACAGTATAAGATCTTAAGAGTGCACATGATTTAATAGCAGAATAGTGGATTACCATGGATACGGTGAATTGATAATTTGTAAAGCGACCTGAAAACTATGGGTGTGAATAATCATTGGTGATTGGTTACTGACCGATCAGCAAAGTTTGTAATAACAAATATTTTAATTGGTTTTATGAATCCATATTTAAATTTTTTTGGTACGACAAAAATTAATAGCAATTTTGGGTTATTTTCAATATTATCAAATTTATTAACTACCAGTGACCATTATTTGCAAGCTCTATGTATTCATATCTTTTTTTGTTTTACTAAAATCCTTAAAAATACTTTTAGTTTAACTAAAAGTTAAAATTGCAGTAAGAAAGTTCATTATCATCATTCAACTTAATTATTATTCTTCTTAATTATTTCCAATCTGGGTCGAAGTTTTTTCACAGGTTTTTATAAATATTCATTGTTCATGACGTTTATTTCATAAGAACATATAAGGAATATATGTTTTCAATATAATATATCAACAATATTCATATATTTATATATAAGTATTATGCCAATAATTATACATTACTTGGAGCCATCGGAAAACCATAAACATCCCAAACCATGGCTATAGCCCTCATGAAATTGACCATCATAACGTGTACCATCGCCAAATTGTAGATGACCTAAGCCATGTTTTTGTCCTAATTGATTCCATTCTCCTATGTAACGTGTAGAATCTTCGTAACGCCAACCACCCACTTTAACAGCACCCGCAGTATTAGTATTTTCCATACGACTAATGGCAGTGGCACCTGCATATATAGGTATACATATTTTAATTTTAATAAAAATTTATAATATTTATAAATTTGAGAACCTTGGTCCTCGTAATCGCTCATATTGTGAATTTATACTTTATTTACTTTAAGTTTAATAAAAACTAAAATTTCACTATTACTACGTTGACTGCTACAATTCTAATAGATTATTTTCTAGTCTTGGTAAAAAATGTTTTGCTTGTTTGGCTTCATTTTTCACATTGAATTTGGCATTTTTCCTAATTTTCCAATTTCTTTATGCTCAAATCTAATTAGCATTTTCCATTTCTCTTAACTTGTTGCTTTGTTTACCTACTGAGTATTATGGAGAACGCTTATACGAGAACACTTGGTTTAAAGTAGCTACTGAAAAGGGCTGCTTATATGGTAGAGAAAACAAAATTAAAAAAATCGAAAAAATGGATTTTTAATGGAAAATCTCGGTAAAGGAAAATTATTTAAAAATTACTTAACATACATATCTAAAAGTCGATTCTCATCAATGGGTTGTATTAATTGTTGCATGATTATATTCCAAGCAATTGGTAAGAATATTCTGAAAGTAACCTCTTTAAGCTATTTACTATCTATCAATTTTACAAACAATCTAGGTTTCGCGCTACTTAGTGTTGTAAGAATTAGCTACCGTGTAAGCAATTCATTATTAAAACACCTCAAATGCGGGATGATAAATATCTTTATTGGAGTCTTGATACAGCATGCGATATCGTTCTATAACACTGTCTTTTTTTCCATTAACATCCTTATTTATAATTACCTGATCGACAATCTGGAAAACAATCCCATAATATATTCGTTTATATAAAGGTTTATATAAAACAATTAAGTAATAGAGTCACATAATAGTTGAGATGATTCTCTGAACGAATCATAACCGAAACATATAAACTATACATTATAAATATTCTTGTGCAGCATGGTGATATAGAATGAATCGAGCCTACTTATCTCTCTGCACATCCCTAATTCACTGCAACTTTCATCATTTAGTAATAAAGCTTATTTAATGATATGTTCTATAAAGACTTCTAATATGGCCATGTTACTTAAGTTCATGGAAACCGCACAAGCTGTGATAATACACGCTTGACCATTTTTGGAAAGTATCGTATAAAGATTTAGGCGCCGTTGACTTATCTTGGACTAAAAACTCAAAAATTAATAGTATCAACATTATATTACTTATATTATTTACAACATTATATACTTATATTACAGAGTTTAAGCAAACATTATCCATCACTACATATTGGACATTAAAAAGAAGAAAAGAAAGGTTACGGTGTCACCGGGGCTACTATTATTTCGTTGGGAATATTGTTTTTCTTTCGACTATCATGGAAAGGATAGCGGTAGCATATATCTAAATAAGTTAGACATCATAATTATTCCAAAGCCAATAATATTGTCTTATTATTCGATGGTTCTTACAGCTAAAATTCAGGAATTGCGTTTTAAATTGGTTGAACACCCCACAATAGTCCAGATCTGATTAACATTGAAATTGTTTTGTTTTTAAACGATGAAAATGTGGCGAGAACATGAAAAGTTGTAAAATTAATTACCTTGATACAATATTCTAGACTGAAAGGATTTTAAAAGAAAATAAATTTAAATGGTATATTTAAATGGTGGATTTCTAATTCTTCTATGGGAAATATATTCAATATTCAACGAAGTAAAATATAGCTTTAGATTTGTTTATAAATTATTCTATTTATATATGTAATAAATATCACACTACTGACTTTTTTGGGCCTAAATATGAATGGGTAAAATGTATAAATATAAACTATAAATTTATATAATTATCTAAAAGTGAGCCAAAAATTCAATTATTTAAAATCGAAAACCTCTTAATAATTATAAATATAAACTATAATAAACTATAAACTATAATAATTTTATTTTGTCTTATAACACCATATATAATTTAGGATTTCCTACTAATATTAATAATAAAATTGAGTTTATCCCAACTCAAAACTTAAACAACAATGAACTATACATTTTATATATCTCGAAATTTATAATAAATGAACAAAAAAATATTGTTAGCCTGCTTAATATATACTAAGCAAAAAAAATCTAAACAGCAACTTTTTTCAAAAAACTATTCAATCAATATTATTTGAAGGATTTCAAAAGTAGAAACGTTCAAATCTGTTCACTTTGCGTTCAACAGAAACTCAAGCGTCTAATAGTAGCAACTTTCAAAACTAGTCACTCTACATTATACAATAATAATACAATATTTTTTGACAAAAATTGCAAATATTTATTGATATATTGAATTTTATTATTTTTATTCATTTATTTTTCAAAGAATTATTGTATACAAATAAATAAACTTAAATAATTTTTAAATGGTTCAAAATAGTTAACTATTGTTACAATAAGAAAAAAATTTGACAGGAATAATACAATATTCAAATAATATAAAATATAATAATACAATCAATGTTTATTGACATATATATGTATATATAATATAATATAAATACATTTATTTAACATATATAAACAAACATGCACAGTTTTATATATATCAAATAAGTGTATTTATTATAAACTATTCGTATTATAGGCATAGTGAATATACAATCAAATAAATAATATGGTACTAATATAGAAAATAATTGCTTATTTGCTTATTGCAGAACATAAGAATCATTCAATAACTTTTACTTAAAAACTAATTTACACTATTTTTTATTAAAAATATTGAGCTGTTAATGTTTTTCAGCCCACATGTGTGAAATGTGTTTTCATTTGCCAATCTAAAAAAGAAACACGGTAAGTTAATAATTATATGTTAGTTAGGTTATAACATATAAGTGCTTACAATTTGTTTAGAATTTTTTATTATTTAAATTTTTTTCCATTATGAAAACAAGTTAATTGAATTTTCCTCCTACAACTTTTTCAGATATGCAGCGCACTTCACCGCACTGCTCACTTGTCCAGTGTTCAAAAGTGTCAATTTCTTATTCTTAGCGCGGAACTTTTTCACGTAAGCATCGATCAGATTTTTAATTTTATGAGGATTGATTTCGCCGGAGCGGCTGTGACAGATCTAAACAAATAAAAAATTATTGTTAGTCAATGAAATTCAAATTTAATTACATTTATATTTAAAAAAATATAACATATGTCTGTTTACCTTTGGCACAGCACGGCGCATAATTTCCTTGTAATCCTCTTTGCTGATCTGCTTTTTGTTGAAACGTGGTTTCAACACCAATTTCACCTCTTCAACAACTCTTTCTTGTCGATTTAGCTTACGTAAAAACTTGAAAATAAATTTTGTTGTTGTACATAATTTGTTTACAATTTGTTAATAATGTAGGGAGGAGAAGCAACTAATTGTGATTACTGGAGACGAAATAAATGTATTGCTTTCAAAGAAGTGATGGATATTTAATAAGAAAATATATTTTCTTAATTAAGTGTTCCACTGTAACTTAATATAGGCGACCGAGTTTTAATGTACTCGTTAGCTATAAGCGGAGCGAATTAAGACAAACATTTCTTTATCTCTCTCGCATATGAGTGCAGCGCTAAGATTAAAAACATCATCTGCTTCATAAGATTATATATTATAAAAGTGTACTTCATGCTTTTTTAAAAAGGGTTCCCTAAATAGAACAGGTAAGCAGCAGCACGTGTTAAGCATAATAGATCCGTAGAATAGTGAGTTTGTCAACTAGACCGACAGCCTTAATGTTATCTAATCTAACATTGAATGTCTTGAAATAAAATATTAAAATTTTTATTGAAATCACGATTATATACAATTAGTATTGATGTTTAAATAATTTTATTGCACTATTTTGATTTTCAGGAATCAATGTAAATAACTATAAATATAGTTATAAATCTGTATATATCCGCATATAGCGAAGTGAAAAAAGTTGGTTAAATTAACTGAGTCTATTCATGCATTGTAAAATTAGCGTGACCAATTATTTTATTTCAAAAAGAAACGAGATTGAAGAACTGGTGTTAGCTTAATAAAATGAAAATAAAGTATAATAGGGTTAATAACTGTCTCTAGTGCAATAGAAGCATTCCATATGAACCCTTGAATATTTACTGTTGAAGAGCTATTTTCAACGGAGACAGGAGTTCTAGAATGATTATATTGGAATCAATAATATATTTAAAAATATTTTTTTTTGCTGTTTTCTATCTTTTTCGTGATTTCAAAATTTTTGGTGAACTATTTCTGTTTATTTATTTGAATCTGTAAGTTAAGGTTTATCCATATATATACATTATATATATTTATCCATACAGTACAGCAAGTATAGATAAATAAAACTTATAGTTGCCAAATGTTGTCATAGAGCATAGGCAGTAGCAACAGCCACATGAGTTTTACAAAAACAAATCTGAACAACTTCAGTATATGGGCTGTATATCATTATTTTAAATACGAATATATGAGGTGATCTTCAGAAAAAGCGGTAACTGCATATAGTAAAAAGTAAAGATGTGTGTTTAATAATGTACATTAATTCTGATTTAAAATATTTATCATTCAATTAATTATGTTAATCTTTATTATTTGAAACATTTATTTTATATACATAAAAATCTTTGTCTGAATTAAGTGCTATCACATTTAAATTTAAGAATTTAAAAAAAATTGAGTTAATCGAACGGATCATATATGCAACACATGTTATGTATTTGAGTAGTAAAGAACCCAGTTATACTATTTATATGTTTTATAAATTGTTTGGTTAGTGAAAAATAATTATTTCTTTATTCTTTGGAAACAAAATTAGCTGCCAGAAAACTACATCACTTGAGTTGCTTATCCCGCAAAAACTATATAAAATATTCAACTTACCCTATCTTTAACTTGTAAATCGACAGCAGAATTGGGCATTTCATCATACATTTTAAGGTGTTCATCATTAGATTTACCTAAAGTAAGTTACACAATTATTAAAAACTTGTTTTTAATATATTTAAAATATAATAATAAATAAATATTTGAAAATGGTGAAATATTTCATTTAAATATGAAATCAGTTCAACATACTGATTACTGATTTATATTAATTTTATTCAACATTCATACACACAAACGTACTCTCAAAAATATTAAAAAAAAAATAATTAAATTTAAAAAATAAATAATTAATTAAATATATTTAAAAAATTAAAAATATATTAAAAAATTTAGATAAAATTAAATTAGCAATTAAAGAGAAAATATTTTAAAAATTATATTTAGTTATAAATTTTATAAAATCTATTATCTTCATAGCAGATACTTCATTAGGATTGCCATTTTTTAAAGACCATCTTTTTGGATGAAAAAAAAAATGTAATGAAGACTTTTCAAGTACCTCAGGGACCTTAAGCTTGATCCGATCAAAAAATACATAAAGATAGAACCATGAAATTATTTACAAAAACTGACAGGCTTATCAACACCGCGTTATCGATTCTCAGAATAGCTACAGGCTCCTCGGGGAGGTATGCAGATCTGAGGTCAATTATTGCTTAGTCTGATGAAATGATAACCTCGCAGCTAATGGAGAGTAAAACTGCTCAAGTGCACTGACTCAACTAGCCTCAACATAAGAATTAATGAATGAAAGCATCGGGTAACATAAAATCATGTCTATATTGAGGAAAAAAAATAGTTTTAAAAAAAATTTTTTATACCCCAATTTGAAATTTTATGTCTTTGAGAAGTCTGCTTGGCTCGCTTTCCTTGAACATGTTAAAACTACGACCAGTGTAATACAAGCACTTGTCTTTCTGTTAATGAAAAGTTCGATGTGATATCGAACTTTATGTGATATCACTCTATATGTTATTACTGAATAATTGCTAAACTTTAAGGTAACAAAGATCATAAATTTGTATTAACGTATAAATATCAGGAATGGCAGGACCAAATAAGCAAAATTACAACTCCTCAAAAAGAAAATTTATACAAATTTTAATAAAATAGCAGCTACTACATAACTTACCATGGAAGTCTATAGATAGTTAACCAATATTGATATTTGTAAAGCGACAATTCCTAAGCAAAATCAAAAATAAAAACAAAGCGGGAATGCTCTAAATATAGCTTACAATTGTGAGATTTAAAATAAAAAAAAGGTGACATATAGCTTACAATTGTGAGATTTAAAATAAAAAAAGGTGACATTTCATGATATTAAATTCTTCATTCAAAATAATAATCAATAATACTAGATATGCGCAATTAGGTTATATTAGTTGTACAACTAAATAAAGATAGATGAAAAAAATCCGAAGACGAAAATATGAATCGTTGTTGGGAAATGCAAAGTGTGGATTTTTTAATGGGATGAATTTAAAAACTAAGTTCTAAATCTGGTTTTTAATGACTTTCGATCATTTAAGCTAGAGGCAATCCAATAAACACGAAAATTATTTAGTGAATAAAAAAAGTCAACGTAATTTTACTTTGCTATTTGACTCATCGATCTATCTCCAATATGGTCCAACTTTTTGGAAAATTGACGAAATGATAATGATAAATAATCAACAAAAATATAAAAATCATTACAGTGAAAAAGGTATACACAGCAGATATATCATTGCTCAAGCATTCAACAAAAGATAGACTTAATTGACAAACTTCGATCCTGTTTCGAACACAGTGTTCTCATAAAGTCATATTACTGCAACCCTCAATTTTGCACCAAGTAAAAAAATAAGTATAGAAGAAATATGAATTGGTCTACCACAAGAAAACACAAAAGATATATCCTATATACTGCTGCCCCAAAATAGCATAACTGCTAAACTTTTGCTGATGACAACGATATTCTTGTAAAAAAAAAAAGGATTGAAAAAACAACAGTTAAACTTTGATTTGCCAAAAAAAAAAAAGGTTGTAATAGTAAAACTGGATGTAAATTTGAAGAATAAGACTAAAGAACTCCAAATTAACTTATATGGATTTCAACAATAAAAAATCAAACTACTACCCAATAATGCTAACATGTTACTAAGGGCTTCAATTCCATACACAAATACTGGAAAATATTATGGAATAACTTTTAAGGAGTTGAAGAATCACTTCAACTTAGTCAGATCAATCTATAATCCATTAAAATTTTCTGCATATATATGTAGAAATTTAAATAGATTAATTATTACTCTAAAATTTGAAAGAATTTCGTTATAAAAGTACAAACCCTCGTTAATTACTTCAAATTTAATTTAACTTTACTGGAAAATTTTGGCAAAGATTGTTAAAAGTTGTAAGATCTTTGAAAGATAGAACGAAAGATCGCCGCTTGAAACATTTTTGCTATTATGGTACAAAAGTCTTTCAAAAAACATTTTATATCATTTGTAATTCGTGATAGAAAGCTGTTTTGATTTATTTCTTTCAAAATTTCTTGCAATTGCTTGTAATCTTGCTACACCTAAACCCAAGTATATATGCTAGCAAAAAAAAGGAGAAAAAACAGCTGTTTCGAGATCTGCTGTTTCTCATGTGGATGTGGTATGCTGCGAAGAGAGCTGTTTCATCATGAGTTGCAATTCTGCAACAGTGGTAGTCTTACACATTTCCCATTTTAGTATAGCGTTCTTGCATTTCGTGCACCTTGCAATGACTTTGCAAGACAGAGTGATTACCCCTATTCAATTATTATTATTATCCATTCATAAATAATTATTAACTGAATTTAATTCATGTCTTGAAAGAAATGGTAGCAGCTATTGTTGCATTAGCACAGCAGTGATAAAAAAAAAAAATTTAATTAGTTTTAAAATTATAACTTAAAGTTATGATTTATATAAATAAATAAATTAATGTTTCATAAATATTACCATTTAAATATATAAAAAATATATATTATATATAAATATGTAAAATATATATGTTAAGATTTTTATGAAGACAATGAATAATTGTTCCATTTTTACAAAATGTAATTAATTAATTAATTATTATTTTTTATTTAAATTTGTATGTATTTTATTTTATACAAAAAGAAATTTTATACATGAAAGCACAAACAAAATCTTAGCAGATATTTCAATTGGTTTTTAGAAAGACCAATAAAAGCATTCAGTCTTTGAAAAGATGGCTGCCAGAATACGAAAGATTATTTTAAACATCTTTTGAGTGCGGTAAGCTCAAAGACAGTTGTTAGAATTGCCCTGTTCGACTATCCGTCTAAAGACGTATTATCGTCTAGATATATTTGTAAGTCAGATAAATGATTAAAATTAGTTAAAAATATTTTTTTTCAGTTAGTGTGTTAGTGTAAGTCTACACTTTGTAAGTGAAAATTAAAGAATATTTTTTTATTATTGATTCAAAAAACATTCATACAGTGTTTGCAAAAAATTATAGAATTTTACTAAAAATCTAAATTGACAATAACATATTTGTTGTGTGTCTTTTGTAGCACACAAATTGGCATACAAAAAGTGCACCCCTTTTAACATTATTATTCATATAAGTTCTTTAATAATTAATTTTCTGTAACTTCTTTTTCGAACAGAAGTGGTTTATGACATATATTTCTTATTTAACAAAGAGCCATCACGTTCAGATATAAAAATTAAAGAATATATGTAAATAAAAACAATAAAGATGATTAAAAATATGCAGCTCTACTGAAATGGTAAAGGTGATGTCTTTTTAATTTAAATATATTACTTCGAGTTTGGACCTAGGCAAAATTTACAAAATATCGAATATCGTTTGTGAATTTCTTCAAAAAAGATTTCAAGAATGGAGTCATAAACATAATGCAGAAAAAAAAATTCTATTTATATTTCAGTAAGGTAATTTTGGATTAAAAAAAATTTGGATTTTAAACTCATTTATTATTAAAATTTTGAATAAAAAAAAAAAATCAAATTTAATTTGACAATAATCACTATATGTTATCAAAATTAAACGTATTTGTTAATTGTGTTTCCAATATAAATGTGAGTCTGAAATCTATTCTGTTTGAAATTATCGTAAGCTATATAGACGGCGTTTCTTTTGAGAAACGAGCAGAAGTTTGGTTATACTTGTTGAAGAACTAAGCCACGAGAAGACTTCTCATAACGTATAGTCCATAAAATAAAGTAAGAACAAACGGTAACGTCAATCAAAAAAGAAAGACCTCTTCTGGCTCGAGGTGCCAAAATTCTTCTAAAAATGATCGAATGTGAAATTTGTAATAAACATTTATGTGAAGAATACAACACTCACAAATGTTATTATAAACATTGCTTTAAATAAATAAACAATAAATATTATTTACTTTATACAGTAAACTTTATTTTAATAAAAATGTAGTACTTATTATTATTACTTTGTGTTATGAAAAATAATGGATTTTATATTACCCAAAAAGATATTAAGCGTGATTTTTTTTAAATCGGAACTAAAACCACATAAGAACTAATGCAATGTAATCTATAAACATATTTCAAAATGGTTTTTCCGTGATACTTTAGTATAATTCGATTAATCCACCTCAAGTAGTTGCAGGCGGTACAACGAAGTTTGAGATGTTAAACCCATATAAATTCAACAATTCAGAAGAAAGAATATCACGTTATGAAATCTACATATTGGCAATATAACTGGTAATGTAGTTAAATCGGACAATGTCAAGTTAATTATGTCGATAACTTCTTTATCTAGAACAGCAAAGTTATCTTATCAAGAAAACTTAGTTGAAGGACGTAGTTTCGTTAAATAAACAGAATTATTTGAATAATGTAAATGCAGACTTTCCTACTACAATTAAGATCATTACGGTCATAAAATAACTAAGAGATCGTAGTGCAACATGTTTCGATGACATCAATTCTGAACTTCTGCAGTATAATGTAGAACTTTCCACTACATTATAGTATCCTGTTATACAACAAATAAGATTAGAAGACTTTATATAAATAAATTTTTCTAAAAAAAA